CTTCCCACTCGCCGCCCGGCCCAGCATCCCATAATACTCGTCCCCCCCCCGCCTCCGGTCCTCCCCTCCCCCCCACCGGGAACATCCCATAATAGTCCCCACCTCTAACCCCTCGCTTCGGCATCCCCTAATACCCGCACCGGACCTCCCGGCGGAGCGCCCCCCTGGACCTGGGCGCCCCCCGCCGCGCGGCCCTCCCTCGCACGCGCCCCTCCCGCCGCGGGCATCTCCCGGGGGTTTACGCCGCCGATCCCCTCAACATCCCATAATAGTCACACCCCGGGCACACATCCCATAATAGTTATCCCCTCCCCCTGCGCGGGCAAGCATCCCATAATAGTCGCCGGGAGCCACCGGCCAGCCTGCCATCCCATAATACCCGCGGCCGCCCTCCGCGGGGCTCCGCCGCCGCCCCGCCCGCCGCGGGACGGGCCCTCGGGACCGTGCACACGGAGACCGGCGGCACCGCCCTGCTCTCGCGGGTACCGCAGGTCCGCGGCCCACCCCGGTCCGCCCGCCCTCCCATCTCAGGTGGCCGAGCCTCGACGCCTGTCTCACGCAGGGCACGGTCCTCTGGGTGACACAGCCACCAGCTGCTGCAGAGAGCGTCTCTGGGTCTCACGGTGGCCTCTGCCACTGCTTGACCGTATGTTGGGCTGTAATGCGAGGCACGCAACGTGCTAGCACTGGTGCCCAGCCATAAAGCTCTCCCTATCCTAAAAGAATGTGGGGCCATCCCTGCTCTACACCCTGCTGCTTCTCTCCACCTGACACCATCACTTCACATGGACACCGGCAGCCCATGTGCACAAGCAGATCCTAATTGCACACACGTTGCTGTGCCATTAAAGGTCAGCTGTGGCACTGCTTGCCCCAAGGCACCTCTGTTACCTCCCCAGGTACCCAGCCTTGCCCACCTCACCCCATAAGCACAATGGCTGTCAGTGACTGCTGGCTCCTCCCCTGGAGCACCGCTGCAGCATCCCGCGCTGCCCATGCACACAGCAGCCCCACAACAACCTTTCCTCCATACACAACCCTGCTCTGCTAGCACAGATGGGCTGGGCATTGTGGAGCCCAACCGCATTGTCTTCCTTCGTGTGCTTATAGAGCCCTGCTATAGAACCCTGCCTACAGAGCCCTCTGACCTCCTGCCTTACACATGTGCTGCCCTGGCGTTTGTCCCCTCACTGCGGTGATGTTGCTGGTTCTCTCAGCCCCGTGGAGGACAGGCAACAGGAAAGGGCCGTGCTGTGCTGTGCGCACCGGCTCTCCTGTGCACAGGTAGGTACAACAGAACACTGTGATGCAGTGGTGCACGGGCTGGGAGCTCTCCCACCAGGCTCACACAGACCCCTCCAGAACTCCTCTCTCCATTCTGTGCACTGACAGTCGCAATCCCGTGAGACACAGCTGCGTGGGCTGCTATGCTAGTTCCCATACTCAGCAGACCACACCCGTGGGCCACCCCTCCTGGGATGTGGTGCTGCTAAGAGCCACACTGCTGGTGTGCCCCTGCACAGGAGCAACTTGGGCGAGCTGTACATGCACACAATGGAACCTGTGCTAGTGCAGCTGTGGCTCTGAGAGCTGCTGTCACCGTGTGCTCCCCAGCTTCAGGCATGCACCTTCTCACCAACCCCTGTGCTGGAGTCTCTGCTGCTCCCTGCCGCATCTGTTCATTTCTCTTCATAGTCCAAAGTTCTCAGTCAGCAAAAATCTTCATTTTCACTCTAAGAATCCCATGCAGGGGATGAGTCACTACGACTGAGGCGATTTTAGTGCCTGTGAGGGCCATCTAAATTGAACTTTTAAAAAATCAGTCTCCTGAACACGCAGCCCCACAGGTTAGCTGCAGGCTGCACCCAGCTGGCCCCACCCTAGGGAGCTTGTAGTACTTCATGAGAAACAGTTATCATAGGATTCCTACTACTGGAACTCACCTTGCTGCTGGTCCTGTGTACACTGAACTGTCCTGAATGCCCCTTCACTAGGCCAGGGAACCCAAAGGCACCACAGGACACACCAGCCCAGCCCAGCCCAGCTCCCAAGGGCACCCTCTTGCTCAGCCCCTAGGACCAACTTTTATTAGCCCACAGTCTTGCCGGACTGCACAGACATCTCCCTCCAGGTTACGCTCAGATTTAAGCACATTGCACTATGGTCCTTGCAGGGTGCCTCACTGCTATGAGCACCAGCAGCCCTTCAGAGCCACTCACTGAGGCAAGTAGAGAGGAGAGGGCACCCCAGGCCTGCTCTCCTGTGCAGGGCACAAATCAGGCACCATGACAACAGCTTGCTAGTGGTGCAACAGTGCACTTGTGGAGGTCAGTTTGTTGGCTGCTGGCTGTTTGCTGTGTCTCTCGCGCCCAGTAAACAAAGCACAAATGTTAATAGTTTCAAGCGCTGAATGCTGCCAGGCCATCTCATCACTGCTTCAGTGGGTCCTGGGAAATTAATCCACTTGTCCTGGTCCTCTGAGAGTTGCTCTAACCTGTAACATTCACTTTCCTAGTCAGCTTAAATACAACCAACCAACAACATTATCTATCAGGATCTTTGTAAAACCAGTATCATCTGATGATTCCATAAATGTGATGCTGTTCCTGAATTGCAGCAGGTGCATTTCCCTTCCTTCCTTACCTGTTCCATGCAGGTCTGCATCAATGTGAACTCACTGACAGTGAGCTCTCTGTTCTGCAGCCATGCAGGTTCTCCCTGTCAGACTGCTGATGCTGTAACTCCGAGCCAAGGCCTTGCAGTCTCTGCCCACAACCCTGAGCATCTCAGGGCTTTCGAGAAGTCTTACCTTTGTTTTTCTTGGGTGATCAGAGAATTTTACCCCAGATCATCCTGAGAGGGGAGGGTGTCAAAGTCTCAGGTTCAACTTTTACTTTGAAATTGGTAAGAAACCAACTCAACTTTTCACTCAGTATTCAGTTATTATCCCAAAGTCTGTCTCTTCATACAACCTGGTGTCCTCAACATTGGCCAAAGGAATTATCCTGAGTTCCTCAAGCCTTCTCCAACACTGCAGAGCTCTTCTCTCTTCCAGATTTCTGTAGTCTCCATGGCAAGCTAATGCAATTGAAATTATCTATTTTCATTGCTGCTTTCCCCTTTGTTCCCCCTCTTCCCCCCCATCAATTTGTTTGTTTGTTTGTTTTAAAAAAAGAAGCATGAACTTATTTGTTGAACACAATAGAAGTAGCTTTGGTGTCAGAAATGGAAGTAAAGGACATTGTCTCCTCTTCTTGTGGAGAAGCAGCAACCACTCCCCCTGCCATACCCAAGGGGCTGCTCCTGCAAAAGCATATGCTGTTGGAATGAGAGGCAGAGACACACTTGCACACAGAAAATTTGGTAACATGCATCAACACAAGATAGATCGAATAGCCCACTTGTGTTTCTTTTTTGAGAACAACACACCAGTGTCACTGGAGGACCCTGTCTCACTAATGGCCACCTCACCGAGGACTGCTTGCAAACCAGCATGACGCTGCGTGTATTCTGCTGCTGGGAGAACAGCCGTTCAGACGTCACTCTGCACTGCTCCTGAGTACTGCTGCCAGAAGGAGGAGGGGGCAGGGTGTGTGGCACGGCCCTGCAGCCAGCACACCATGCCAGGGGAGTACACATGCTGCATGGAGCAGTGCTCATGCTGCATGGAGCAGTGCTCATGGCGAGATATGAGGCGGGGGGCAGAGGGACAGAGGAGGGGATACTGCTCAGCACCCCGTAAATCCAAAGTGCTGATCTCTATCTCTGCACACCGTGCTTGCCTGCTCACTATAACAAACACTGCGGATATACTTGGTGCTGACACCTATAGTGAGGGTTGCTCAGTATTTTCCATCACAACTCTCTTTTCAGTTACTCTGTTGATATTCAGATTTGAATTTTCCATGTTTATTTTCACTCTTTATTTTCTGAAGTCAGAAGCACTAAGTAAGATGGAAAAAATAAATGTTTCGCAATTGTAAAAATATGACTTTGCAACACTACTCATCTTTTAACTTATTGTGTATGCAGTGAATAATGAAAACTGGAAGCAAGACCCAAAGCTGCTTATTAATATCAGTCTTACGTGCCCATTTCCCTAAAACGCCTTACATCAAGGCCCCACTCAGCTCTTCCTGAAGCAAAGTGTAGGATCCACTGTCAGAACATGCAAGGACGGTCTCAGTGGGACTGCAGCACCGGCCTGCTGCTCAGAGCTGCCCGGACTGCAGTTCTGAGATACACGTTTTTGTGTCCTGTATGAAAGTTTGCACGTGCTGTCAAAACCCAGCTCCGTGCAGCTGGGAGCAACGCAGGTGAGCCTGGAGGCTGCACACCCACAGGACTCGGTGCAAGCCCCACTGCCAGCAAGCAGAGCCAGTAGGCTCGGGCTGGTTTGAGGGAAGGATGTGAGAGACTCAAACCCCGATGGTGGGGAGAGGCATTACATTTCCCTGTAATTCTCATCGACACCGAGCCGCTGAGTGATGCTGCGAACCACGTTCAGCTCAAAGGCAGCCAGAGCTCTGCACAGCCACAGAGTGCCAGGAGAGGACCGCTCCCGTCCCGTGGCAGGCAGCGACAGCCACGACCACGGCCGAGTCGTGCTCCAAGGCAAGCTGCCCACGGAGGGTCCTGCCCTGCAGCACGAGCAAGCACGGCTCGCTTGCAAAGTTGCCGGCTCCTAGCTCTGTGACGCACGGACTGTGAGTTCTTTGCTTTAAGACAGATATACTGGGATCGGCGCTTAAGCGCCTCTCTCATTTCGCACGACGTTCCATCACCGTGCAGGGCTGCCTCCTCCTTCTCACCCTTCCCAGCTGCAAGAGGCACAAGGCGCCCCTGCAGGCGGGCTGCCAGACGGCTGCCCCGATGCGGTGCCCACGTTCCCGGCCGGGGTCCGTCCTCGCCGGGCAGCGCCTCGCGCCCCCCGCAGCCCTCCTGGGCAGCCCCACCCTGCGGCAACGGACACATCCCATAATAGTCCACAAAGACGAGTCCATCCCATAATAGCCACCTACGGGAAATGCTCCATGGCAACCGCCCCCCCACGCCCGCACCCCCGCACGGGGGGAGCGGCCATCCCATAATACCCCGCCGGCGCTACGGGCTGGGAACTGCTGGGGGGCCGAGGAGGGGGCAAGGGGCCCCGCGGTGGGACGGGACGGCGGCCGGCGGGAACCGGGGGTACCCTGCGAACCCTCAGGCACGGCGGCAGGAGCTGCGGCCCCCCTCCCCGCCCCGTGCTGCGCCGGCATCCCATAATAGCACTCCCCTCCCCCTGCCCGCCGCATCCCATAATATTTCGCAGTGAGGCAGTAGGTACAGCTCCATCCCATAATAGCCGCCCGGGCACACGCGCTGGGAATTGTGCCACCCCATAATACTCCACTCGCTCTGGCTGCAAAGGGCCCTGCCATCCCATAATAGCCACATCCTTCCACCCCCACTTCCAACCCCCCCCTCGCTGCCGCCGCCTCGTGGGGCACCCCTATCCCATAATATTACCCCCCCCCCCCCCCCCCCCCGCCGCAGAAGGGCTTGCCATCCCATAATACTCCTGCCACCCACCTGCCCCCCTCCGGTGGCGGAAGGCCTCGCCATCCCATAATAGTCGCGGCTCTCTCTTCCCTCCCCCGCCGCAGAAGGCCTCACCATCCCATAATACCCACTGCCTGCCCTCCCCTCCCCCACTTCCCCCCCCCTTCCCCCGGGCCTCGCCATCCCATAATAGCCGCGGTAGGAGCGTGACCTCGCTCGGCTCGGCTCGGCCCGGCCCGGCCTAGTTCCCTCACCCTGCCGCTGCCTTCCGAGCCGGCCCAGCCCTGTCCTTGCCGGGCTGCTTTTGGCCAGAGCCCCCCTGGCCGCCTCTGGCAACTACAGAGCCTGCTTGCCAGGCCCTCAGTGCGGGGCCCTCCCTGCAAACCCACCCAGCCCGTGGCCTCTTCCACCCAGCCACAGAAAAGCACAGTGCCAGAGCAGTGCCATTCCCTTGCACCTGGCCCGGTTGGAGCCTCCGCTGAGCCCCATCCCGCTGCCCTGCCACCATTTTGGCTCTGTGGTGGGCTTGTGGGAGCTGTGCTGGCAGCAGTCGGCCTGCTCATGCCCGTGCCGTTGTGCGCCTGCTGCCAGAGATAACTTCTGAGCTACCCTCTGCTCACACGGATGAGTTTTTTTTCAGAATGTGATTATCACCATCTTTGGGGTTGGCTTCCAGGCTCATTGCTGTGCTTCTGTTGTGTTGAGTGCTTGTTATCGGCTCATGGTCATGCCGTCAGCTCCTCAGTGGCTGTTCGGGCTGTGCTCGCTGCCTGTTCAGGAAGGCTGAGGGAGCTGAGATTGTTCAGCCTAGAGAGGTGAGGGCTCCAGGAGCCTGCCTCACTGTGGCCTTCAGAACTTGGAGGGGCTTTTAAACAGGAGGGAGACTGACTTTCCACGGCCTAACAGTGGCAGGACAAAGGGGGAATGTCTTTAGACTAAAAGAAAGGAGATTTAGCTTAGGTGTTAATGGGAAGCTCTTCGCTCAGAGTGTGGTGAGACACTGGAACAAGGAAGCTGTGGAGGCCCCATCCCTGGGGATGGTCGAGGCCGGGCTGTGTGGGGCTGTGGGCAGCCTGATGTGGTAGGTGGCAGCCCTGCCCACGGCAGGGGGTTGGAACTGTATGTGTTTTGAGGTCCCTTCCAACCCAACCAATTTGTGATTCTTTGGTTTCCTCACCAGAAGGCCGCTACCACCGCCCCATTCTGCAGTGGCCTCATCCGTGCTTCATCCAGGTGGGCCAAGCCCTGCCATGAGCATAGCACCAGCGCTGGGTCCCACAGTGTCCATATTGCAAGGCCCTGTGAGGCCCTTTGTGTGGTAGCTGTGCCCCCCAGCTCTGTGTTTTGCACAGCCAGTCATGGCAGATCTACACTGGCAGGAGGTGTCTGCAGGGCAGTGTAGTGCTGCAGTGGATGCAGCCAGCGGAGGGCTGCCTCCGCTTTGTCAAAGTCTTTGCCAAAGGGGGTTATGTCAAACTGAGTGAACACAGGTTGGGTTTGCACAGTACATTTTTGAACCATTGCCTGTGATGCAGCTAATCAATGTTACATCTATTAGTGAATTACTGTGAACACCCAATGCAGAGGAGGAACTTGCTCTCTTCCACGCCTGGATTAATTGCTTAGATCTGTGGTCTGAGCACACAATTGCTTAGCCAAAGCCTGCTGCTATTCAGGCATTCCTGTCCCCTGGCTGCCCACTGCTGACCTGCAGCAGCAGCAGCAACAGCAGCAGCAGCTTCTATGTTCATGCGTGCAGGCGCATGTGCTGTGCTTCTGTTCCATGCAGAGCCCAGCACCCTGCAGCATGAGAAATGCAGCAGGGCTGAGCAAGGGAAGAGGCCCAGACCCAGGGCCCCGACTACGTGTCCTGCCAGGACTGCTCTCTGCTCTCTTCTGCTCCTGGGAAGCAGGAGTGCTGCCTCCGTGGGGCAGCAGCCACAGCTCAGCAGCTCCATGCTGTCACTGGGTACAATGTGTCAGGCACCCGGCCACACCGCTTCATGGGTTGTCACCCTGATTACACTCTGTGAGCAGGCATCTGATGCATTGGTGTCAGAACTCACCAAATTTAATGGAAGCTGGAGTAGGCAGTATGAGGGGACGGCAAGTCTGAGATGTGAAGCATGAAGAAGGGATGAGGTCAAGGAGCTCCATGATGGCATAGGGCTTAGGAAGAGGTCTGGAACCAGATGATCTTTAAGGATCCATCTTGTGGGCAAGAGATCATCCCTTCCTGCGTCCGTGTTCTCATCCAGTTCCTAGGCTCCTTGGTGATGTCACAGAGAAACTGAACCAAATAGATCAAGAATCATCTGTTTTAAAGGCTTTGGTTATCAGATCCTACAGATCCCTTTTTTGGGGGGAGTAGAGTGACAATGCAGAGGGGAGGATGGGGAAGAGAGACCAAAAAGAGTGCCTTCTGTGCAAAAAAGACTGTGCAAAGACTCCTGGGGTCTGTGCTGCATCTCTTCCTAATTCCTTCATGCTCTGCCCACTCGATGGGAGCAGCCATAAAAGTGACTTGGGTATAATGGGAAAACACACAGAAGTGAATGTCTGTTAAGATGGAAACTGCTGGTCTAGGAGTCAGGAGCACCCTTGGGAATCACAGTGGTCATTCCTGAAGTGCAGCCAGTACTGACACATGCTGACATACCCTAGATAAGTTAAAAAAAAAAAAAAAAAAAAAAGCCCACCACAGCCAAACAAAAAAGCCCTAACAAAACTCATCCACAAAACAAAACAAAAATAAAAGGTGACAACAAACTTATCTGGAAACGTGGAGAAGTAGTCTGGAAAGATGAAAAACAGCCTGATAAAGTAGGAAACATACATGAGAAATAGAAAAACAGTCTATCTTGAAAAATAGAAAAACAGTCTGGGAAAGTAAAAGCTAGCCTAAGAAAATGAAAAACAGCATCATCTATTGGCTGTTCCAGGTAAAAACAGAAACCGGCAGCATCTGCTAGCTGTTCCAGGTGGCGTTGTCCTGTGCCCCCTTACGTCCTTCACACACACAGAAAAACTTGCTTTCTACACAAAATGGAGCCTCACTCAGAGCTTCCTCTGCAGGGACTTTTGCACTCAAGATCTGTACAGCGCAGACCCTCACCAACAACACCTGTCTGACTGCAGGCTCATATGTAAGTATAAAGACTAGATAGATTTATACAGACATGAATGTAAGTTGTAAGTATAGTTGCTTTACTGTTGGTAATTTTTGTAACTTGTAGTACTTGCTTGTTTCAATAGTAGTAATTTTTAGTAATCTGTGATAAAGAAATTTAACAAACAAAATATCTGTGTCGCTGTTTGTTACAGATTCCAATGAGCCCATTGCTGCAATCCTTACACACCTGCAAGCTGACTGTGGCATGACTTCCTGTGACAGTTCCGTACCAGCTCACCTGCTGCCTAGATTGTAGGACGTTCACCAGAACTGCTAGGGAGGCAGTGCCTGGGGTGCCAGAACTGGAGGAGGTCCATCTGAAACCTGATACAGTCCCTGGTTCTTCTCCCTTGCCCACCCTCCTATAATACTGCAATCCATGGAGGACAAAGTGGGAAAAGCTGAGGGAGGCTGAGCTCTACCAGGTGTGCCAATCCCTGGCACGCTCTCTCCCTACAACACCTGGTATGTTGGCTGACAGATGCAGTCACCCAGACGAAGTAGAATCAAAGATGGCATTAGGAAATCCCCAGAAGCTGCACATAGGAACGATGTCAGATGTTGAAATCAATCTTCAAGTCTTCTTTAAACGAATCCTCCCTTCAACAGCCAAATAAACTCCACCAGCCAGCCAGAGCAAGGGCAATGCACTTTACTAGCAATTTTTCCAGTTTGTCCTGCAGTAGTTCCATGTAGACCCTAGTGAAATCTCATTTTCTGTAGTCTCCCACTTTTTCTGAGCCTCTCCCCTCCCCTCCCCTCCTCTGCTCTCCTCTTCTTCCCCTTCCTACTCCCTTTTCCCCCCTTCTGCTCCCCTATCCTCCCCTTCCCCTTTCCCTTCTCCTCTCTTTTCATGGAGAAGCCATGGAAGCAACACCGTTTGAACAACACTCTCAGAGATATAAGCTTTGACGTTTGAGTGGTGTTGTGTGGAGTTGGATTGGACCTGAGAATTCTTTTGGATTAATTCCAACGTGAGATATTGTTTAGTTTCATAATTCTATGATTCTAACAGGGTGTAGAAAGATGCTAGCCTTCCTTGGCCATCTGTCTCTTCAAAATGGTAGCCTTGGAACCACGCTTTGTGTTATCTGGGGAAGGAACATGGGGTGGATTTGATGCAGGTTTGGTTCAGGCCAGGGAGCAGCAATAGGTGCTTGTGAGCTTTTCTGGATGGTGAAGCTGTAAGCTCCATGGTTCAGCTATAAGCAGGTTCAGCCATAACCAAAGGCCCTATTTCAAATTCCAAAAGCATCCATTGCTGTGGCATGAATCCAAGGAAACAAAGCAAAACATCATTTTGGACATTTTGCCTAGCATCAAAGCATGGAAACAGCACTTTGAAGACACTATGTTCTTGCTAGGGTCACTTCTGTTACCATCTCAAAACACTCCTCTAGTGAGGAGCACAAGCATCTTCTCAAGCAGTTCACAGAGCTTTTGCCTGCCTGTTTCAGACTATTTTTTTTTTCCCGGGGTCTGCATGCTCACAGACAAAATTGCCAATTCACAACACTAACCAAGACAAGTCCCCTGCACAACACTGAGCCACAAGCAAAAATTCTGAGGTCCCCACCCACCACCCTGCTTGGCCCTGCAGGCAGTAAAGCAGCACAAAGCTCAGCGAGATCCAGCTGTCAGCTCTGAGGAAGTTGTTTCTCAAGACCACTAAAACCATCTCCATGCTAAATCCAAGCCAGAAGGAAACTAATTTTTTTTTTTTAATTTTAAATGTGTGAAGGCTACCCCCTATGGAGAACTGCAGAACTCAATCCAAGGACAGAGTGAGACATGAAAAAGAAGAGTACCACCAGCTTCACCCCATGTGTTTGTGTTCCTGGGAAGCCAATTTATGTTCCTGGCAAAAATCGCCTTTGGTTTTTGGAAAAAAAAACTTCTCAGTACTTTCAGACTGCATGTATAGACAATGACAAGAGCAA